TTATTCATTAATACACTGAAATAAATATTGGCAAGTTATGTGAAGCTCTAGATAAATTTTCATTTTAAACTATTATTGATAGCATTTTTCCCAACAGACCAATTAATATATTAAATGTATAAGGACACTTTACCAGAGCTTATTACAGGGTTTGATAATGCGTCAAATGCCTTTTTTTTTCAGAAATTGTGAAGAGAATATTGAACAGAGGGTTGATGGCAGATACAGTTAATTAGAAGATTAGTAGAATAGTCCAAGTGAGAAGAATCCATTTATGAACTAAAGTACACACAGAAATATCAGAATATTAAAAACATACAAGAAATGAGTTCTTTCAGGAGTTTCTGATGATATGTGCAGGAAAGGGTAGGAGAGGAGAGACGGGGGCACCATGCAGCTTCCTGAATTATGGCTTCAGGGGCCTGGTGTGATGACCCAGTGGTTAAAAACCCTCCTTGCAAGCACCGGGATCCCAAATGGGAACCAGTTGCTGTCCCAGCTGCTCCTCTTTCCATCCAGCTCCTTGCTTGTGGCCCAGGAAAGCAGTAGAGAACAACGCAAAGCTCTGGAGTATCTGCATCCATGTGGGAGATTCAGAAGAAGCTCCTGGCTTTGGATTGGCTCAACTCTGGCAGTTTTGGCCACTTAGCAAGTGAATCAGTGGACAGAAGCTCTTTCTCTGTCTCTTCTCTCTGTAAATCTGCTTTACCAATGAAAGAAGATACATTGTTTTTAAAAGAATCATGGCTTCATTTACTAAGTCAATCTAAGGCATTATCCCTTGGGGAGAAAGTGATGAGGTCCTTGCAGTTGGGTTTGGAATTATGAATAGAAGAAGGCAGGTAAGTATTTTAGAGATCTAACTTGAAACACAGTCTAAATAGATGTAAACATTACACGTGTGTCGGAGATTCTGTTAACAATTGTGAGGCTTGAGGTAGGAGGAAACTAGAGAGCCAAACATGTCAGAGCGCCAACGATGGGTTTCCGCAGGGTAATGGGCAATATGACAAAACATGCAACAGTCATATTAATAGTCATATTAATGGACATCATTTTTATGAAGACAGAAATCCAAACGAGAGTGTCCAGCCACAAGAACCAGGAAAGGATGGGATCTAGAAGGGCCTAGAAGCGTACAGCTTCAAAGGGATTTCAAATACAACACCTGCCAGCCAAGTGCAGCTTGAATTTGGCATTATAGAACTCAGTGGTGATTGGCTCAGGAACAGCTCAGTGTGGTGACATTATGCACAAATGTGGAACAGGACTGTAGGTAAATTACAGTTAAGTGAGATGCAACGAGAAGTTTACAAGTCTGGCTGCAAATGAAATGCAAGTACTATTTCTGAAACCTTAGCTTTTAAAGAGAACAGAAGTGGGATCTACATAGCAAGCAGTTTAAGCAACTTGCAGAAGGTTTCTTTTTTACTTAAATTTATTTTGTTTTTGAGAATAGAGCAAAAAGCACCTTAGCTGAAATGCGCCTTATGGTGAGATTAGAGAGGGACGTCCAGAGTTTGTAGTTATTATTATTATCATTTTTATTGAATGATGGATACAATCTGTAAGAGAGAATATACAGACCTGAAGTTTCACTCATTTCCTTTCATATTTATAGTTCTCTAGAGGAAACATGTGAAATTGGGAGAAATGGTTGACTCCGAATGGCAGCAGCATGCCCCAAACCAGTTTTACTGGAGGTGGGGGCAGCAGAATCCACAAGGAACTTCTCTGGCTATTAGGAAAATTCTTAAGTTTATAAATTGCTTTCATATTTTAATGAATCACTAATAAATTTTTAAAAGGTGATTATTATTAGGATGGGATTTAGAAATTTGTATTTTTCTGGGCCTGGTGCAATAAACCAGTGGCTAAATCTTTACCTTGCATGTGCCAGGATCCCATGTGGGCACAAATTCTTGTCCTGGCTGCCCCACTTCCCACCCAGCTCCCTGCTTGTGAGCTGGGAAGCTAGTAGAGGATGGCCTAAAGCCTGGGGACCCTGCACTTTGAGGGAGATCTGGAGAAAGCCCTGGCTCCTGGCTTCAGATTGGCTGAGCTGCGGCAGTTGCAGCCACTTGGGGAGTGAGCCATTGGATGAAATATCTTTCTCTCTGTCTATCCTTCTTTCTGTGAATCTGCCTTTCCAATATAAAAACACATCTTTTAAAAAAAGAAAGAAAACAAAGAGGGACTTTAGAGACAAAATGAGACAACTGGGGGAGCAGACACCTATTGGTTTCTAGGCTGCACAAGGGACTTGAAGAAAGAATCAAAGGGACTAAACTCTTCCTAAAAAGATGTCATTTCCTGCTCCACACTGAGATGGGTGAACGTGGCAGGCCAGAGAACGCATCGAGCACTCAGCTGAAGACCAGTCAGTGGCTGAAAGAAATGCTGGAATTAAGGATGAGGGATTCGGGTATTTCCGGACCCATACACACATGAGATTGTGAATCAATATGACTGAGACTTCTTTTTCAGCTACACTGAAGGACACCGGACAGTTGCCTCTAGGGACAGAACATGCGAAATTGAAGTGATAGAAAATAGGACAGTGACCCCAGAACGGTAGCCTAGAGGCTAAACTCATCGCTTTGCATGTGGCAGGATCCCATATAGGTGCCAGTTCTAATCCCAGCATCCCTGCTTCCCATCCAGCTCCCTGCTTGTGGCCAGGGAAAGCAGTGGAGGATGGCCCAAAGCCTTGGGACTCTGACTGGCATGGGAGACATGGAAGAAGCTCCTGGCTCCTGGCTTCGGATCTGCTCAGCTCTGGACATTGTGGCCACTTGAGGAATGAATCAGTGCAGATCTTCTTTTCTGTCTTTCCTCCTCTCTTTATATATGGCTTTCTAACAAAAATAAATCTTAAAAAAAGAAAAGTAAATAGGAAAGTTGGATATAACAGCTAGAAGATTAGTTGTGGTGAAATAAATTAGAGTTCTGATAAGATGTAGAGCAGGAAGCCCATAACGGGCTTGTAGAAACTGGAGCTGAAGTTAAGTGGGATGGAAATTTTAAAGTAATGGATACGGATAAACATATTTGACATACTTCAAACAAAACACAATGAAGCCTTTTGACTACTCCGACCTAACACTCCAGAAGCATTTTCCAACTATAAATAGTCATATAACTACTATTTTTACTACAAATGGTAAATTTAATATTACTGACCAAGTTCTATAAAAATATTATTTTTTAAAAATAAAGAGCATTCGTTAAAAATAACACATGTAGCTCTTTACAAGAAAGATCAGATTATTAGCTTGCGAGGCTAACAGTAATGCATATAGGTTCTTGGAGGAAGAAGCACAAGAAAATTGCTCACATTTTGTCTTGAAGGTGAAATCTGATTTCAGAAATCCATGTTTCAAATGTCAGCTCTACCGTGTTTTCAAAGTTAGTTGGCCAACTGTTTAGTGTACATTCACTTCCTTAGCAAACTCCACTGTAACAGGAAGTACTATTTGAGTGAACCCTTGCTCAGAGATGAAGATAAACTTCCCTGTTGCTATCCCACCTGACCAGAAAATCCAGGCATGCAAGAAACTAGGTGTGCGTTTTCCAGTATTGTTATAAAAGTGTAAATGCCAATGGCTTGTGTGCTGCCACGTCCCTCTGTGTTTCCTTTTTATCCATTCTGCACCTGTTTGAGGACCATGCTGTGGATCCCGTGGTCAAATCTTACTCTTTTTATAAAGGACATACAGAACACATATATCACAAAGAAGTATTTGCCAAAACTAGTGTCCTTTTCACTGAAGGCTGAACACATGATATAAATTGCATAAATGCATGGAAAGACTTAGATTGAAAAAGTTCAAGAACAATATTACTGCTTTTAATAATCTTCCAAAGATGGAACATCTGTTGATTGCGACAGTCAAATGTGGGGCCACAGTTGCATTCATTGTTCAGTGAGCTTGCCCACACAGTTCAACCCACCGACAGCAATGAATGTTGATTGTGACCTTGTTAAAAAACAGTCTCTTCATGGCAAAAGAGGTGGTCCCGGTGTGTCTTGTCTTGGTCTCCTGCCTTGAGCAAATTCCGAGAGCCACGAAGCAGATCATGGTTAGCCATAGGGTACAATCAACGGTCGATGGTTTTGATTTTAATTTCAAACTCACCGACAGCGTTGAATGTTCACTGAAGCAACCTGTAGAGTCTGAATTCGGCTGACTTTCATAGTATCCACAAGTCGGTGAAGGGGTGGGAGACAGAAACAACAGAGGACCTTGAGTTGTACTTTTTACATGTTGTAAGCAAATAGTAAATAATAAGACAGAAGAGAAGTACGTGCATGAGTCCTCCAAGCAAGAGCTTGGCAACACTCCACATTTTATGAGAGAAAAAGATCTGTGTCATCGAACTACAAAATGCCTATCTTGGCCTACTTCCAAAGACAAGAATCTCTTACTGTTCATGACAGGGAGAATTTGTTATTCAAAGCAGTTTAATGTATCAAATGAGTATCTTATAATTTCAATCCCCTTATGCTTATAGTGGGTAAACTATGGGATCTACATTAATGGCATGGAAATCACATAAAATGCTGTTATTTTATCAAATTAATGTCAATATTACCTTATTATAATATACATTCAATGTTTTTTATTCTGTAGGATTTTAAAATTGTTTTCTAAAAATGTTATTTAGAACATGTTGAACAAAGCATACATGAAGAGATACGCTTATGACACTGAATTCCTTAATATAGTGAAAGAGAAACAGAACCTATGTATGTTACAAAACCAATCATTTCCCATTTATTTTGATAAAAATAGGCCTAAAAAAGTATTGAGGATAAGTAGGTGGGGGTTTTTCTCACATCACTCTTTCCTAAGAGTAAGTGATGATGGATATTTATTTTTAAACTACTGTGAAACCCACACACTGTAACTTACTGTAATTATATATCACAAATTAAAAGAAAAGTCACTTTGAAATCTCAAAACCAGGATACAAATATCACTATACTATATACTCACCTGGCCTCCAAGATGGATACAATCATCTGTGGATGAGACAACCGACAATCCTATAGAACACCATTGGTGGAGGACTTCATGGTGTATTTAAAAACAAGACAACTGTCCTTGGCATGCTAGTGAAACTTACACTGTAAATTCCTGTACGTTCTGATATTTCATCCACTTAGAGCACTCTAAAGACAGTAATTACTTACTCTCTTCTGCATAAAGTGTTAACATGGAAACTCGCAATGATTTTGTTTGGAGTGGCAGGGATACAGGAGCTAGTGGTACCACGTACTAAGGCGACAGTCATAGTAGCACAGAAAACCATGATTAATCTGAATTTTACAGTGCTTAGTGATTTTGAAATAAGCAGTTTTTTCTTTTCCAAAAGAATACAGGGCTTGAGGATAAAGTACTTATCACAAGGCATTTCTCTGTTACTGCAGGAAAGAGTATAACGGGAGTAAGGACTCGTTTGCTTGCATTATTGGTTAAAATGGAAGGCACCTTACTCCTGCACTGTTGTCTGCCTGCCATCGTATTAGCATCAAGTCAATATACACCTGTTCTCACTCATGCCCATTCCTCTCTTGTTACATCTGCTAACATCTGTACAGTAGAATTGTGACAAAAGTTTCTAGACCATGAAGTTTTGCTTTAGCACAAAACATACATTTGCCAACTACTAGGCAATGCTCTAGAGCAGGCCAATTAATTGCAGTGCATAAGCATGTCATTATTAGCTTTTGAAAGCATGCTCCTTGAAATTTTTTGCAGAATATTATTAACTTAAAGCCAAAAACTTTAAATGCTTAAAATAAGAATCTTAAATACAGGTAACTTAAAATTTATGATTCTTACAAAGTTTGTAAATCAAAGATCTATAGCTATATGAAATCACAATTGCTCATAAGAGAGCAATAGTAAATACAATAATTACCTCTTCCTTGCTTCCCCAAATGAAGCTGGGTGCATGTTAACAAAGCCACAGTCTGTTGAAGATAACATATTGTCTCTTAATGGTTCCAAACGCCTACAATGGAAATAAGACCTCTGTGTTCTTGCTTGCATTAATTCTAGTGTCCAGGAAGAGAATAAATTTCTAGATTTTACATTGGAAATTATTTTTTGTCCAATACTTGCTGTGTGATTCATGTAGCTGTCTCTTAATTCATCTGGACTTTTAGCCACTCTCCCCTATCTTCTCTTCCACTTCTATATGGTTGTGATCTTATCCTTCCTCTACGTTATCTATCTTCAGAACATTGAAATTCAATATTACTGGGAAGCACATTTTTTGTAAGACTGTGGGGTGTTTATTTAGCATATATTGTTCATAAGCCCACAGGTGTAAGTGAGTGGCAGGGACGTGAATTCTTGCACAGTTCTCCTTCACTGAGGAGAGCCACAAGCCAGGACCACTTAGTATCTGCTTTACGTGGCACCTTGCACCTCTCTCCTGGATTTTGGAGAGTGGTGTGGGCAGGATAGAGCCAATTTACATCAAGGCCAGATTTATTTTAGCTGCTACTTTTCCACCTTAGGCTAGTGGGGACATTAAGTATTTCAGCTGTGCTTAAGGTTAGTAGGTCATAAATAAACCAAAGTTATTTGCTTTGCTTTGAACAAGAGGACTACAGAATACACGAAATGCCACTTTGAAACAAAGCACACTCTAACACGAGTTGACAGAGGAACATGAAGAAGCAGTGCAATGTGCCCCAGTAAAAGGCCATGGGGATTTGGGATGTTCAAGTTGTCTGTTTTAGAAATAGATGATGTATCTTGCTTGATGACCTGTGTTTAATTTAAGTGACTGTCCCTGCAAGTCCTTCCAGAGGGCAAGTGTGTGAACTAGAGCGTCTCAACGTCAGTCTCCAGCCTTCGCCCCGGCCTGATGCCTTGACCTAAATTGGGCCTGTGGGCACCGATCTGGACAGAAGTAGAGAGACCAGACTGCTAGCAGGCACCTTCTCGTCTTCATTCCAGCTCACATCCTCAGAGCCATAGTTTTGTTACAACTCTTTTCTATCACAGAAATGATTGCTTTCTTTTTTCAAGTTTAATTTGTATTTTGTGTATTTATTTATTATTTATTTATCGTTTTGTTTAAAACAGAAAGAGAAAGGAGAGGGGAAGAGCAGCTCCTCCCACTGGCTCACTTCCCCAAGGCTTACACAGCTGGGGCTGGTCCAGGCTTGAAGCTGGGAGCAGGGTGCTGAATCCTTCCCATATGAATGACAAGAAACTGCCTACTTGAGAGGCATCACCACTGCCTCCCAGAGAATCTGCACTGGCAGAAAGCCAGACTCGGAAGTCACGGCTGGGTCTTTGATGTGGGGTGTGGGTGTCTAAACCAGCATCTTTACCACTGAGCCAAAGGCCACCCCAGGAAGTGAACCTTTTCAAATACTAAGAAGTGAAAAAAAAAAAATTCCATTAAACAAATACCACTGCTGCTCGCTGCTCGTTAGTTTGCAAAGGAAAGAACAATGCTTCTGAAATCCGTCATAAACGAAATTCCAGCTCAACTGTGATTTGGGGTTCCCAAGATGCCTTTCTCAAGGGTGTCTCCATTTCTTTAGAGGATTTCCTTCTCCGCCAGGGCATGAAGTTTCTGAGGATGTTGCCGTACTGGCACTTACACCTTCCCAATTACAGTTACAGTGACCAATACCAAAACTCCTTCGGGGTAATTACAGTTGTAGTTATTGGGGTTTCCGGCAGCTTAAAAAGGAGCAGGAACATCAAAGAGGTCAAAACTGACTCAATACAACAGAAAGCCAAGCTGAGAACTTGGACATGGCTTTCCATTGAGCAAGAAGGAAAATTAGGGCAAGTCGTGCCAGGGCTTGGCTCGGATTAGACAGCTTTTACTATCGAAATGTTGGCATCCAAGACCCCTCTGCTTAATAATTCTGTTTCCCAATAGCTTTGTAATTACTGATAACCCTTGCTCCCACTGACAGCAAAAGGGCTGAAAATTTCTGGTTTTCTGTCCCTGAAAACTGTGGAAATTAAGTAGTACTTACTTTATAAAATGTCTTGCACATTTGCTTTGGAGAAAGGGAGAATTTCCAGCACAACCTTTGGACCATTCGGTAAAGTTACCAATGATCAAAAAAAGGGAAAAAAAAGCACTGATTGATTTCAGTATACATATTAACTAAATTCACATATAAGAAACTCATAATATATATAGGTTGTAAGTGATTTAAAAGTGATTTTCATGACAAATGCATTCATTTGACATTAAGCACTGAACATTTGAAAAACAGCTTTCAAAGAGTTGGTTAAGTACTACCATCATTGCACTCTATTTCTGTTAGGTACAAAAAGACATAAATTATTATATTTGTTTAAAACTGTATATAAACTCAAGTATTTAAAAAGCCTAATCAGAAAAATAAGAATAACCATAACTACAATAAAACATCACTTTTGCATTTTTTCATTTGCATGAAAGGGAGGGAGGAGGGAAGGAAGGTAGGAGGGAGGGCAGAGGGAGAGAAGAAGGGAAAGAGGAAGGAGGGAGGGGAGAAGTGATCGCCCATCTTGATTCACTTCATTAATGCTCCCCAAAACTTGGAGCTGGGACCAATGCCAGGTCTTCCATGGGAGTGGCAGTGACCCAAGCACTTGAACCATCACCTGTTGCCTCTTAGGGTTCTCCTTAGCAGGAAGCTGGCATGGAGGAGTTGGGGCTAGACTCACATGTCCCAGTTAACATCATAACTGCACACACCAAAGGAATGTCCCAGGTCTTTGAACAATAGCCCACATTCTCTCTCTTTCTCTCCATGATCTCTCTGCCTCTCCAATAAGCACAAGTGAAAAGTGAGTGAGCATTTAGCCCAGTGATTAAAATACACCTTTGACACATCGAGGCGCCTGGGCTGAAGTGTTGGATGTACCTCCTAATTAAGTTTCCAGCTAATGCGGACCATGGAGGGCAGACTTCCCGTTGATCATAAAGAGGGGCTCTGAGGGCCCCAGTCCTGACCCAGTCACTACTGGACTTGGCATCCAGAGAGTGAATCAGCAGAAGGCAGCTGTGTGGGGGTGATGGTGTGTGCTTGTATGTGACTATGTATGCATCTACCTCTCTCATATAATGAAAAAAAAATCTTAAAAGTTGCTCACAATTTTTCGCTTTTGATTTCCCTACTTTTCTTATTCTAGTCATTTATTGTCACATTCTGAATTTCTGCTGCATATTAATCACAGCAATCAAAGAGGTGCCCTTTTTAATAGAAATAACAAAGTGAGACGATGCATCTGGATTCTGCTGCTCAGCAGTGTCCCGGGTAAAGTCAGGGTGAATCTAGGGCTCAAACTTCAGAAGGGAAATCCATCACCTATGAATCGCACATCCCTGTGGGTGCCACAACAGTGCCCAGCCAACTGGGCTGCTGCAAAGAAGTACAAGGGTGCTTGGAAAAGCTCATGGGAAACTATGTAAAGCATACGTTTATTTGGGTGAAAAAAAAATCTGAAACCCAAGCATACTTATATGATAATATGCATTTTCCAGGAATTCATATTTGAAGCTTTTTTACATAAAGAGAACTGATTGATTTGATGCAGTTCATCTGTTCAGTTTTATTCTCCCGATGATATACTCTCTAGCTTTCCCTTCCTCCCCTTTTCTTTCTTTTAATTTTGAAAATAACATACTTTCAATTTATCTTGTTGCTCGCAGCGATGGAAATCAAGCATGGGAAACTAAAAGTAATATATGTGTTAAAGAAGATAATTATTTTCTGGGACAAATCTAATAGTCTTTGAAAAGAGACAGATCCCTTTTCTACACAAAGTGTTACAAACCACCAGAAACCTGAAAAGCATGACAACACTGCACTGTTATACTGTGTTATATTATAGGACAATTGTCTGTAATTGTGTCTAGAATATTGTAACGTTTTTCATTTTCTATGCTCAAAGTTCAATCTACAAATAAGTCTACTCAGATTTTCATCTGTGTTCTCCACTAAATGTGTTAATAGATTACCTAACTGTTTGGGGAAGATATCATGGATGTATTTCTGGCTTTGTGGTTTATACAAGCATCTGTTCCTTCATTCAACAGGATGCCAAATGTTTTTCACATCAATCTGTGTGAAACAATGTATGTGACACTATTTTCCATCAGTTTTTAGTAAGTATTGAGTCTTCAGTTAAAAAAAAATGTTTGAGTAACTAAGATGGAGGCACTACGAGATTAAAAAAAAAAATAGCAAGCAAAAAAAAATGCAAAGGAAGACACGTGGAAATTAGTTTTAATGTATGATGCAAAAAATAGTTGCAATACCTTGTTCATTTCTGCTTACACATAGGCAATTTTCAATCAGTTAGCAGAACCTGTAAAGTTTGAAGTGAAAAATTATCTCTTAAAATTTATTTCTTATGCTTCTAACCTTATATAAAGTAATATTTTTGGAAAATCAGAAAATACTCTGTTTTTCGTTTTGAGAGTTGATACCTTCCAAGGATTTTAGCGTGCTCTAGCAAAATTGCCTTGATAAGATTTCATATTTAAAAATAAATAACCTAAGTAAACTTGAATATGCAACAAACAATAACAACAACAGCAACAAAAAGGCCTTCTAAAATTTTCCTATTGCCAGCAGCTTACCATGCTCTGTCTCCATGGGTGACTTGTGGGCTGAGTAAAGATTCCAGTCGAAGGCCAAGACTCCATTATAGCTAAGTATCATATTTCTCAAGAAACCTCATGAAAATGTAGTACCTTAACTCAAGTTATTCATCAAATAGATGCCGTTAGCATATGTTCCTATTTTGAATGATTGATGCATTGATTTTGGTCTCTGATAAATTACCTCTAGTCTTAAGACCACATATTTTTTCTTTACAGTTTCTGCTCATTTTATATTACTATTATTTTGCTGAGTCACAGTTACAGTTATAAAGGGTTTAATACTTCCTCCAGTGTATATTTTAAGAGGACAAACAGGCAAAAATCTGGTGTTGGGGTTAAGAGTACATTTTGTTTTAGAAGATACTAACAGGTCAGCTGTTTGTTTTTTTTTTTAACAATATAATCATGGGACAATTTGATTTACTGAAATCATAATTAAGGAAAGAAGAGATAAAATATTTCATTCATATTATATTTTTACTGATGTCAGGGTATTCTTTATTGGACATGTGGTAATAAGCTAGATATCAACAATCTTAAAAATTAATTATATTTTTTACAACTTTGTCTACTTCATCAAAAGAGTCTTAAAAATTATGTGTGGAAACATGTTGCTAAAAGCAGATACAACCACTTTCCGGCTTTGGGCTAAGGTCAAGTGCAAAAGCAGATGTTTACACGGGGCTGTGAGAGTGAGCTTCTTTACAGCAGGGCGTTTCCTTCCATCCGGATTTTAAAAGCTTCACTCTTGGGCAACTTTTCTAAAACGAGAATATATTGGTAGAAAAAAAAAATAAGCGACATAAACATCCAGAAATATTCTGTGGTTAATGAAAGTCTGTCAGAGATGGAGGTAAACCATCTTTGACATTGTTGGTTAGAAGTGGAAAACAGTAATTTCATTTAAACAGTTTTCATATTTTTTTTTTAAATTATAGGAACAACCTCTGTTATCAGTAATGCAGCTGGAAGACACTCAGCTCCTAGGAAATATAACATGTTACTACACTGTATTTTTCAGAATGATTCCACTTGAACTTAGTTTAAAAACCACTTCTCTCCCTCTCTCTTATTTCAATCATAATTGTTATTAGAGATCAGGGCAAAGGAAAACTACAACAGCCATTTTAGAACTGATCTCAACAATTTATTTACCATTAAAAACACAGTTGCTTTGGTGTTTATATTTTTAAATCAGTGAGCATATGAACTGGATAATCTTGGATCAAAGTCCATCTAAGGTCCTTTCTTATATATCCCCCCCGAAACACCAATTAGTACACTACTCTTCCTAGTTTCCTGTCTTAAAACAGCTTTTAGTGTTGCCTGCTAGCTGTTACCCAGCTGCAGCATTCCAACCAGGAAGCCAATGCACCTTGGCCGTGTATGAACTACAGAAATGCAAACATAGCTCAATTTCTTTTGAATAAAGGTCTGTAAATGCATAGATTTTCAGCATCATGTTTGGTTATTTCAAACGTTTCAGACATAGGTAAGTATGTACCTCAAATACTTTATGGAAGAAGTGATGATGACTGTGTAAATAAACATATCATTCAGTCAAAGAAAGAAGACAGAGGTATTTATTTTCAAAAGATAATGAATGACATCTCCAATTCTTACAGACTCAAAAAACATGAAATCATCTGGAATACCATTCAGCTAATCCTGGAACTCTCTTGTGACTGCCTCACACTTGCTTTTTAGCACTCTATGAACACGTTGGATTAGCTTCCATTTTGAACACTTGTTTGATTTCTAGTTGTGAGTAAGAAATGTTTTCCAAAAGTTTACAAAGAGACAATTATGTTGTATGTACTCTGGGTTCTAAAAGCTATCAGAGGATTCTAGCTGTTCATTAAAATGAGAGGGGACTAAGATAGCATAATTAAGGGCTGGTGTGATAAAACGACATACTCAGAATTCTAATTCCATTGCTATAGATTTTCACTGGAGAATTCTTTCTTACAAACGGAAGAAGGGCTTGGCGCCTTGGCCTAACAGCTAAAGTCATTACGTTGGACGCGCCGGGATCCCATATGGGCGCTGGTTCTAGTCCCACTGGCCCTGCTACCCATCCAGCTCTCTGCTTGTGGCCTGGGAAAGCAGTCAAGAATGGCCCAATGCCTTGGGATCCTGCACCCACATTTGGGAAGCAGAAGAGCTCCTGGCTCCTGGCTTCAAATCGGCACAGCATCGGCCATTGTGGCCACTTGGGGAGTGAATCATCAGATAGAAGATCTTCCTCTCTGTCTCTCCTCCTCTCTATATATCTGACTTTGCAATAAAAATAAATAAATCTTTAAAAAAATTTTAAAAAGATTAGGAATTTTCACCAAGGTGTCTCTTCTTTTTCTTTAGTATATTGCTGCATTAAACTAAGAATTTTTACACTCCAGTACAAATTGAGCTTACATATCATTCCAACAATATTAAACTATCATGTTTAATACATTATTTTTCAAAAACTTTAACTACCTGGAAAGACATGTGAATCTTATGAAAAATAAAATATTTCGACACTCATACAAAACAATGTTCATCGATTCACTAGGTCCTACTCCATGAAAGGCCTCTGCTAGACCAAAGAAGACTTTGTGAAGGGATATATCTTCTTGTATTCAAACCCAAATTTACCTTTAATTGTGAGTTTACCCCTAAATGTCCACATTCTTGAACTGCATACTATTCCCTTTTGGAGGAGAGTTCCGATTAAAATGACTTTCCTATTCCTTTTCTTGAGTTTTTTGAACTGGATCCTTAGGGCAGACATGCAAGGAAGCTGACTCTTTTTGTAATAAGAGCTTTATGGATAGGTCACTGACCGTAAAGGAGAAAGCTGGGAATGGCTCAGGAGCTGCGTCTCTGACACCCACATGGGAGACCCAGAGTGAGTTCCAGGCATTTAGAACTTCAGTCTGGTCCTTTCCTGGTCCTTGTCAATTTGGGAGAAATAAACGGTAGATTGGAATTTTTCCCTACAGGTCTCTCTCTGCCTCCCAAATAAGTAATACATAAATAAAATCCAACTTACATCAATGTCTTCAGGATTAGTAAATATTCTTCCATTGCTTTGTGGCCTCTTGGTTAACCTCCAGTATACCTTACTTGTTGAGATCCCCACCTCCTTACAGCTTGAGGTCATCACCTTATGACTAAAGCTTCATTTTTAATGTAATGTTGGATTTCTGTTGATTGGACAAAAGAAGAAGTTCTGACCAATAAGCAACAAATTTAATTATATAATCATGTAAAAGGCTAAGCATCCCCCAATAGTTTCAAACATGTTGACTAACTTGAACGATTCAATTAGTTTCTTTCCAAAGCTTAGAGCTGTCTGCATGGAAGACACCTTTTATGTAATGAGTTTTAAAGACAAATTTTCCCATTCTGGAGAGAGAGTTATAAAAATGTATATTTTTAGGTTCTTCAGGTTATTTTTAGCTTTTCTGATAAAAATGGAAAATAATTTTGGCAATAGTATTTCAAATATCCTCTTGAATTTTATTTCTTCTAAGGCAAAAATATACATGAATGAGATATTTTTACTTAAATACTCACATTCTCAACCCTAAGTTCTGCCAAGTAATGTTATAATCATGTACAGAATTTTGCTAATGTATACTGTCTTTGGAACAATCAGAAAATACCATTTATTTACTCAAATGGTGAGACTATATCAAACCAATCAAACCAGTTTCATGCACTATCTTTTAAATACTTTTGAGCTAGCATATTCTCTCATAGTGCACTGGAAACATTTGGGAGACTTCCAGAGAGAGAGAGATTATCATCTCTTTGGGATAAAATTTAATATCTCAAAGCCAAAAATGTCAATTGGAAACAAAATATATCGACAAATAAGCTTTCATTTCTATTGTGGGAAGCAGCTTGAAGCGTTGGCAGAAACAAGGGCAAGAGGCTCCGTTTTCCTCTGCCTTTAAATATGACTTTGACATTAGCTAAAATAACATAGTATTAAATTATAATTTTGTGAGGCATCTTACTGGGTTGGACAGTAAATGTTAAAATTAGATGTATGTTCACTTTTACAATTTTAGAATAATTTGACAGAAATAATCGTATTAAAATATACAGAGCATGCTGAGAGATTCAAGACAGATGTCTCTTCAAATTCAGTCTATTCACATGCTTGTAAATAGCATATCTTTTCAAAACCTGACATTTCTTCCTCTGGACTCACATGTGACTGTGGGGGAGGGGGTGCATTTTATTTGAATTTCTACATTTGGAGAAACTACACAAGACTGAGTCTTTGCATTTATTCCACATATGTCAAAATGTTTCTATTTAAAGGAACATATCAATAAATAATGTTTATTGATTTGTTTGAAGATGATTCATTTTTACGTCATGCATGTACTGCAGAACACTTGCTCAGCCCTCTCTCCTTGCTTGTCAGATTTTTGATGATTTTAGATACTGATAAATACGTAACAAAGTAGATATCGCAGCATTTTCCAAACCTTTTTTTTTATTTTCCTGCAGGAATACAGTAGAAATTGGAGGCTACATCAATTGTCTTGTGAGTGGTTTTATATTCTGATGTGAAAGTCCTAGTAGAGTGTAACTCAGACAGTTGTTACAAAATCTTGGAAACATCAGGGAGTCTTCTGCAAGATTCTGAAGTTCATATTTCCTAACTGGAACAACTCAACAACTCATTCTTTCTTAGCTTAAGAAGTAAATATAAAAACCAAAGGCTTTGTTTCCATTACTAGTTCAGCAATTACCCATCAAAACCCAACTTCCATGGAAAGCCACACTTGCCTGACATTTTTCTTTATTATTATTAAAATAGAGATAGGGAGAAAGGATGGGGGGATGGAAAGAAGGCAATGGAAGGAAGGTGGGGAGAAGAGGAGTCCTCTCCCAGCTTAGTGCCCAGTGAACGTTGCTACTGGCCAGACAAGGCAAGGCCACAAGCAACAACAAACAGAAGGGCCAAGTCAACATGGACTTCCAATCACATTTTCATTTAGTTTTCTGAGATTTAATTCCTGCCTCAGTTTTGAGACTCTAGTCACCAACTCTTTAACATGCAGTTAGTTAGTGGAGACTTGCTTGGTCCGTAGCTTCAACAATAGCTTTGTCAGGATGGAATTTGATCTGATTTGGTTCTCTTGTATTATTCTACATCTGTAGAATTGTGTATTCAGACAACTGGATAGTGCCTGCATGTCTCATTCACTGAAAAGTTGCATTTATGGCAAAATAAGAGGATACACTGACAAGTTTATGGAAAATGGGATTAAGGATAGCTTTATTTTAGTACAAGACATTTGAAATTATATGTATGAATCAACTTTGTTAAGTTTACAGCAAATGCCTATCATGGCATTTTTGCATGGATTTCTTTTATATCAACCCTTAATTTCATTTCCCACAAACATCTTAAAGTATCCTAGTATATACTATTTTAACAAAACACTTTATCTTATGAAAAGAGAAACACACAATTCAGCTATTTTATGTTTTTTTATTTTTTGAAAGAAGATTAATATAAGCAATAGCTACCCATTAAAACCTGTGTTATATTTCAGGTTGAACAACTTTGACTTAAAATGATTGGTTCAAAGAGAATGTAAATTTAGATTATTTTCCATTTATTTAAAACCCAAGAATATGTACTCTGTGATAAGAAGAAATCTTAAGATTTAAGTCTAAAGTTAAAAATTATCTCAGTAAGTAATGGCAAACAACTGTTCAAGTTAATTATATTTGTTTAATTATAACAATTATTCTTTTATTTTCTATTAGAGTTGCTAGCACTTAAATTTTCAGGGTTTTTGTTTTTTTTTGTTTGTTTGTTTATATCATTTTTAATCATGTCTATTTAGTAAAAGCATCAATAGTAATTAGAAAACTGCCTTAAAAATCCCATAGAAAATTTAAACCCAGAGCCTGTAGACCATGAATAATCTGATTTCATTTCAAATCATCACTTCCTCTTCTTTCAAACACTCAAAAAATCTCAAGAGTCACATCATAGTTCTCTCCTCTACCTTCAAAATCGATTTTTATCCTAGGTCTTGTTGCATGTTTTTGGAGTTTATTTCTATTTTATTTTACTTCCTTGATAGCACTTGGGTTTTTGTGTCTCATTAGAACAATTCCTACTCCTCCAGTGACTTTTCTGCCTGATTTGTTTCCTTCTTGACCAGTAGGAGATTGTCGGACTCTAAGCTGCGCAGTTCTGAGCTATGGACAACCCTCCTTCCCGCTCTCAAAGAGCCGCAGGCAGACACATTTGATCTCAAAATGTCACAAAATATAAATGACCATTCATGGTTTTTTTTTTTCCTGAGGAACAAGCACAGCTAATGGATTGTTTTCTTGCTTATAGCATTGTAGGACAGGGAGTTGGAAGCTGTTTACTTTGTAGCAAAACTTATCTCTTCTTTCATCCTTTCATCGCTCCTTGTTCCTTCTCCTTCCCTCTTCTCTTCCCACCCCTTGCCTTCTTTTCTTCACTTCTTTATTGCCCCACTGCTTCTTCTCTGCTTCCTTCTCTTCTTCGCCTTCTTCTCGAGGGAAATATTTACCTTATTTTTTAGTATTTTAAATGGAGAAAGACAAAGACTTGGATAGAGAAGTAGATTTTACCTACATATGTGTCTATTGAGAAGACTTTAGGTTTTTCTTCTCCTGATTTACATTTTCAGTTTTTAAATCATTATTCTAAGCAAACAAAATCTAGTGGATGCATTCTTACCTGCTTCTTTAGGCAATGCTTGAACTATTGCACATTCAGGATTGTTGTGCTTAGCAGTTTCCCTGTTGTTTTCTGTCCCCAAATCCAATCTTTCTACAACTACATATAAATCACACTCTTTGAATCATTCTACACCAGAACAAGAGAAAATGCGAAGTTAAACATCCATATCAAATCGTTTGTGGCAGAAAGCTCATTTCGGAAGTCTGCAATTCTCTGCAAAGTTTGGATGCATGTCTGCAACTGCAGCCCCTGCACGACCCTGCTCTTCCCACCGTGTTTAGGGCAAGGGCCAACGAGCAGAGCAAGGGACTAGCTGTTACTCTATGATTCTTGATAACTATGATTTAATAAGGAGATATCACAGAGAAATAAATGAAGTTCTAAGAGACAAACATTTTCTTGCTTTTTCAAACATGTAACTCAATGCAAGTAATTTCTCTGCATTAAATGAAAGATAAATAAAACTAAAAGGTCAGACAGAATACCCTTAATTTACCTTTCAATTGAAGAATAAGCTAAGTTAAAAGTAATTTTCCAATCAGGTGAGTCCTACTGTAGAACTCTGACTGCAGATTGCGCAGTGGCTGCCGCGACCCTCGCTGTCTCTAACCCAGGGCTGTGCATGGTCACGGCTCTCCCTTGGTTCCAGGCCCTTCAGTCTCTACCTAAAGCGTGGGATCAGGGTCCTAGTTGGCAGCACCCTTCTGAGTGCAGGGATTTGAAAGAACAGATGTAGCCTGAACATGCTGATTGTGGGGTGGGTTTGATTCTCTGCAGGAATATCCCTATGGACCTCTTAGCTCTCTACCAGTACTCTCAGGTAATGTAGCCAAAGGCTAACAGAATCATGTGCCTTAGGCTGCACGTTGTCCTTACCCAGGCACCCCTCTGGAGGAGGATCCACACAATCCACCAGAGATGGAAAACGTGTCTCAGTGGACAATGTGATGGAGCAGAGCCTGCCATAGCCATGGTCTACAGCACATGACTTGTTGTTCAAAGTGTGGAATGAGCTGGAACAAATGGAGCCTGTGCAGAGGCTCCACTCTCTGAATTATACAACAGCAACAAATTGTGGCAGGTAAAATTCAAAGAAGGAGAATCATGAACAAGCTCTTAGAATGATTGCAATGAAGTTGCAGAGCGGGTAGTGTGTCTAAGTGCTGTGCACTTTGGACAAGTAGAAAGAACTTAACATGTGTTTCCCACTGACCAATTTCTGCAACTCCATTTGCAACTAACTGCAGTTTGTGGTTTTCAATTGGACAGATGCCACTAAATATACCGGCTGTGCACTGTTACACCAACCATCGAACTAGGTAATGATGTTTACCTAAGAGAGTTTTTAAAAATCCCCTCCGACTTACGTTTTGAGTCTTTTGAGAAAGCAGTGTCTCCTTTCTCTAGTAAGAGTGAAAGAAGGTGCTGTGGTGCTTATTTAAAAATACCATTTCATAGGTAATGAGTTACTGAGTTATTTGAGGATGTATTCATTGCTCAAGAATTCCATCATATTTTGAAAATACTGGAAGACAAGCTGAATGTAGAAAATCTTAGGGAATTTCAATCAATAAGGTACATAATATTACCATTCATTCTTGCTTAGGATGAATGTAATTATCATTGAATTTTGGTTGAGATTATCAACAATAGTAGGATATTTCCTCAAAAGAAGGGCACTTTAAATATTCAAATGACCTTGCTAATACTTGCAATGAGGTTGGAAGTTGAAACAGTAGCTTAAGATAAACTAATCATGTGATTGGAAATTTTCTATTTTTATCTACTGATTATTTAATATCACTCAGTTATATATTATAACATAAATGTTCAAGAATTGGCAACATGGATAAGGACTCCAGCGTTTCAGCTTCCAGTCCAGTGCAGCTGCTGCATGTAATACACAGTAAATAAGAGAGGGAGGGAGTGAGAGAGACAGAGAGAGAGAGAGAGAGAGAGAGAGAGAGGCTTTCCATGTACTAGTTCACCATGAGAATGCCTGGGATCTAGGAATGCAATCTAACAGGAATCCAGCTCTCTGATCCAGCATCCTTGCCTCCTATGATGCATATTAGCAGGAATTGAGAGCGCAGCCGGAACTGGAATCCAGGCACATGGGCACTGGACATTTGCTTCCCAGCCAGGGTCTTAACTGCTGACCAAACGTTTGCTTCATTGAGTATTTTTAACACCAGGATTAGTAGCCAGCTCATACATAGCCTTAAGCAAAACCAGCCACATGCTTCCTTCTGTCCTAAACTGCATTCTTTGTGTTTTCTTGTCCTTGTCCTAAAGCACCCAGCTAGGAAAAAAAAAAAAGAAAGTGTTCATTTATCTTTTCATGGCTTTTAGCATAATTTATTCATGTAAATCAGTCCAATGTTCATCAAATACAGTGTCCAGTGTTCTGTGAAATGGTCCCTCCCGGTAGTTCTGCTCATCTCCATTGGGGATACAACCTTGCTTTATCTGAAGCTGTCATTGGGGCTTGCAGGAGCCAAAAGCCATTGCTCTCATTGTGTTTCCTACCTCGCTTCTCACTCTGCTCCAGGCCTAATCGCTTCTTTGTCATCAACAGAGCATCCTGACATGAGTTGGCCACAGGACCTTGACACCTGCTGCTGCTGTTGTTCATTAGCCTCATGACTCGTTTCATCCATGTCTCCATTAGAAAGTTTCGCCTTTCCTTCCCATTTGAAATAGTACGCTAGCCACCTTCTCACTTTACTTACTGCCTTTTATTTTGCTTAAATGCAACAATCAACACAGGACATTATACTAAATATCAATACTAAACATATTAAACATTACTATCCTTGCATAGTAATAGGCAACAAACACCTGACATATAATAGGAAATAAATATGAAGTACCTGAATAAAATTTTGCCAAGATTTCAACAATTCTTATCCATGAAACAAATGGGCAAGAAATTATCAGTGAATTTAACTAAAGGCATTCCAAAGAGGAAAGGATATTAAAGGAACCATTCATAACTGTTCACGTGTTTGGAGAATTGTATAGAAATCTTGGGGCGGTTCCTGGAGCACAAACTGTATCTTTGATGTTGTGAAATTATCCAGATTTAGACTAGGAAGGCTTCTTCCAGCATCCCTTTTGATGGGATTGGGGAGCAGGTCTAAGGGGAGCGATGTCTGGGCAGTTTCTGTGCAGGTACCACAGCTGCTGTGTGCGTGTCATGGGGTAGCGATTCAGCAACAGAATGGCCCACAGGAAAACTCATCAGTGTCCTATTCAAAATGCTTTCCTTTATTTGATCTGAAATGTTCAGAAAGCTAAGGTGGAGAAGAAAAAAGACAAATGTTTTAAAAGGTTATTGGAAAAAAATGACAAATATTCCTCCACCCCTCCGTTTCCCCCTTGCTTTCTGTGTAACTTCTCATGGAGTTGAAAGCAGTCTGAAGCAGCAGACTCTTACCTCTCCAAATGACCTGACATTTTTTTTAAGGTCATGTCAAAGGTGCCCAATTAAAAAAAAATAATGTGTACATGAGATAGAAATTGTATGAAAGTATTGTAGAATTTCTTTAAGTAATTATTTTAAAAGTTAAGTAATTCAAGAACAATGAATGGCTGACAGCAGCTAGCCTGTAGTGCAGTGGGGTAAGCTGAATCTTGGGAGGCCTGCACTCCATTTAGGAGTAGTATTTCCAGATCTGGCTACTCAGCTTCCAATCCAACTTTCTGTTAATTCCGCTGGAAAAGCAGGAGATGATGTTTGAAATACCCGTGATGTTTGAAATTCCCATGTGGGAAACCCAAACGGAATTTCTAAATCCTAATTTCAACTTGCCTCGCTTCAAATTTGCAGCCATATTGAGGAGTCAACCAGGCACAATTAATTTCTTTTTTAAAAATTTAATTCCACAGCCATTCTTTGTAAATAAAACTGCTATAATAATAGTTCAGAATGCTTGTATTTTCAAGTTAGAATTTCCAAAACACTATGTTGTGTATTTTTCTCTAGCAAACTTGGCTTTGCTACTCTAAGAAATATATTAACACCGTTATCACGTATCCTGACTAACAAAATATTTGTTCCTTATTTTAGCCTTAAGTAATCATTAACTTTTCTTTTGTTCTATGCTAATGAAAGAAAAAGTGGAGGAGATGGAACCAACCCGGTAAAAGCAGAATTACCCGACAGGACCTCTGTACGTGCTGATGATGGCTTGTGGGAGCGCAGGCATAGCTGACAGGGTTGTCTATATTTCAGGAAAACGTGTTACTCTGCGTGATAACGGATGCGCTCCATTTGGGAGGATTAAGTGTCAACAGACAAATGATATTTCTATTCATGAAAATCTAAAAATAGTTCAACGGAAAACATGTCCTGGTGAGGATTACAGGACTTCTTTGTGGATGAAAAGTTGGCACTTTGGAATCTACTGGAGTGTGTTAGCATCCACGGTTACTCATCAGAGGAGCTCTGGGGAAAATCGCAGCCAAACCCAGATTGGCATCCCCTACTCCACTCCTACCACTCCATTCAGGACAGGTAGGAGTACCATCTAAGATGAAAAGTACTTTTTATATGGCAAAACCACAACATATATCTTTTGTGCAACAATTCTAAAATCAATGAGATTCACATATATACAATTCACAACTTTCCTCAAATCCAGCAATCTAGAGGCCAGTGCCATGGAGTAGTATGTTAAGCACCAGCATCCCATATGGGAGCTGGTTTGAGACCTGGCAGCTCCATTTCTGATTCAGCTCTCTGAAAATGGCCTGGGAAGGTAGCAGTGAGGTGCCTGCACCCAGGAAGGAGCTCCTGGCTCCCAGCTTCGGACTAAGCCAGTTTCAGCCATTGTGGCCAATAGGGCAGTGAACCAGTGATGCAAGATACCTCTTTGTATCATTTTTCTTCTCTCTATATAACACTGGCTAACAAATAAAAATAACATAAATCTTAGAAAACTAAATACATCTAAAATATAATACTCATTGTCATAAAAGAAGCATGAACCCTTGTTATATACTTTTCTTACTTGCTAAAAATGAAATGAATACATGTAGTGTTGATTTATTCTTTGGAAAAATAAGATATATTGACTTCAACAAAAACCAGTGGTGGGATGTGTTGTATAGTTTATGAAAAAGCAAAATATAAATGAACAGCCAGAAATTTGACTCTACCACATTATCAGCAATGATATTCTGAGGATGGTTTCATCTCCCAGATAAAGTAATCCTAATTCCACCTCATGGCATTTTGGCAAAAACGTCCTGAGAAAAATCAGAATCCATGTGTTTTGATATCATGAAGACTCATTTTGATATCACAGAGTTCCAAGATGGGATTTGGACTTCAGCACTTTCTAATTCATGGATTCATTGCACTGAATCTCTCAAAACATTAATTTTATCATTTATAAAATGGACCACAAAGGGTTGAGTGAGACTAACTTATCTATTAATTAACCATCACATTGTTATTTTGTCAAGTATTAATCAAACATTTTAGATGAGTATTCCATAAAAATGTAACACATTGTTAATGGAAGTGACGTGAAAAAAGTTTACAAATATTTTCTTGAAATTAGCATTGATATTCATAAAATTCTTAATTGCATTTAAGTTCTTGACGATAAAATAGAGAGAGTGATTTGCATATTTTAATTTTGAAACAACTTAAATCACTTTCAATTTTTGGACGGACTACCATGAAAGAAAAGACACAAATAGAAAATACGTCTAAATGTGACAGAAAGGATTTCATTTGCACATCTATATGGTATCTGGATGGGATGCCAATGGACTTTTAAAAAACTCATTACTCCTGAAAAGAGTTGAAGATTAGATTCAAAATATTTTCGTGTGTCTGCGCTCACAGCAGCATTATTTACAATAACCAAAGGGTAGAAACATCAGTGGTCCTCCGTGAAAGGAAGAATGGATTCGAAAGATACGGTGCATATGCACAACATAAGATCAGGCACACACAACAGGGGAGCTTCTAAGCGATGTGGATGGATTCGGATGACGTTATGCCAAACGAAGCTCGTCACAAAAGGACAAGTTCATTAGGATTTCGTTGTTAAGTAACTGGAGTAAAGAAATGCATAGACACAGAATTTAGCATGGTGACTGGGAGGGGCTGGCAGGAAGGGTGGGGGAGTAGCTATGCTAACACGTGCGATATTTCAGACTAGGAGAAATGAAAAATCTGGAGACTGGTTAGTAAAGCATATCAATGTATTCAAAAGCCCTGAATTGCACACTTTTAAAATAGCTCAACCAACCAAGGCCCAGTGTGGTGGCTCAGCTGGATAATCCTCCACCTCCAATCAGGATGCAGGATGTGTGCCAGTAACTCTACTTGCCATCTAGCTCCCCGCTTGTGGCCTGGGAAAGCAGTCGAGGACGGCCCAAAGCCTTGGGACCCTGCACCCATGTGGGAGGCCTAGAGAGTTCCTGGCTCCTGTTTTAGGATTGGCTCAGCTCTGGTCACTGAAGCCATCTGCAGAGTGAACCAGTGGATGAAAGATCTCTCTGTCTCTCCTTCTCTCTGCAAATCTGCCTTTCCAATAAAAATAAATCTTTTTAAAATGATTCAGTCAATATTGTGTCTGGAACATTTTTTTCACAGTAAAAACACATTTCCACCTAAAATTCTTCTGAACCTCAGTCCATTATACCTGTTAGTATTATATGTAATTAGTATCGTAACTCTAATCTTAGTTGTGGGGATTCATATTTAATACTTTTATAAATAATTTTAAAGTTTGTGAGGAAAAATAAGACTAATCTGCTTTGGCTACATCCTTTGATTTTAATCCCCACTTCCCAAATCCACAGTAAGACAGCCAACATGCTTCCAGCTTTACCTTATGTATGAGATAATGGATTGGATTGAGTGAGACTATTTGATTTAGCATAGCAGGGGTCTTATAAAATCACGTACGTAGCTACAGGTGTGGTACAGATGCAAATGCTGAATGCGTTAGACATTTTTGATCTTTAAAATAAAATAAATGTTTTCCTGGTTTCATGCCATAATATTCTTTATATACATTTACTAGAGTTTTGAGTTTGACTTTTTGTATGTGCACCAAAAGACACAGAAGACTGGCTAGATGACAGTGAGTATTTAGTAGCCAAATAGTTCATGATACTGCAAATCATCCTGGCATGTTTGCTGGGTTTCACTCCCAGCGCCAGCTCCTGTCTCTGGAGTCCTGCTAAGGAAAGCATGGAAAATGATTGTGATGGCTCAGGTAGGTGAGTTCTTGCCTCACCTATGGGAGACAGTTTGTCTCCTGGCTCCTTGGCTTGCCTCTGACTCAGCCCAGCCATTGTGGGAATCTGGGGATAAAACCAGCGGATCACAGCACTGTGTCTCTCATGGACAAAAATAAAATTCTCAAATAACAATAGTTATGACAACTTGTGTAACCGCAGAGCAAATAACATTTCACAATCAAATGAGAATTGAAAAAAAACCCAGTTTTTAGAATGAAACACTATACTAAGTGAACAAGCATATGCGTATCATTGTAAATAACAGGGTACATCATTCTTGGAACTGTAACTTTGGAAAAGCTGAAAAGGTACACACAATCCCAAAGTTCAAGAAACTGATAGAGAGACTGTCAAAGTCTGTGCAGGTGAGCTTTGCACCCTCGAAGGGCCACGGTTAATATCAGCCTGCGTGTGCAGGCACACGTCGCTGAAGCCTCGTCAGCACACACCTGGCACAGTTTATGTGAGAATCACCTCTGAGCAGGAGATGCACAAAATGCTGGCCGATTCTGTTGCCGCTCCAGTCCTTAAACTGACCGACAAGTGATTGTTCTAGCGCTTATAATCTGCACGTTTTCCAAAGCACACCACCCTCTAGAACTAATTCTAGGAGATATTCTAGTTTCATGGAAATGGAGTTAACAAAAGCAATTGTTTTTCACACACTGAGAATGTTTTTTTTATTTTTAGTCATGTCAGATTGTAACAATAAATTAGTCCATGATTTTTGCTGAAATGTCTACTACCTGTGGAGACATCTAATCCTGATTCATTGAGAAACAAATCCATTAGTATTGAGTTAGTAGCAAGCTCAATCAAGATTCTACATTTTTCTTAGCTTGTTTTTCAGATAAATCACATCTGCTGAAGGAGCTATGCCTATTCTAGGTTGAGCAAAAGACTTCACTCCTCAAAGCTTTAAAGTGCTCAGAAGTCCCCATTACTTTCTCTCTAAAGTTGCTATTTTTTAACACACGCACACGAAATAGCAGGAACAGTAATTTGTCAATAATATGGACATTTAAGT